CCTCAGGCTCCACTCCACCCCTCCTACAGAGGCGGGTAACAATTGGAGGTTTGTTTTGGTGGTCAGGCCTGGACCTGCTGGCCTGGACACAGCCTCTCTGAGCCCATGAGTCCAACCAGGAGCATTCTCGGCCTTCACCATCCTGGGGATGCAGATTAACAAACTGAGGGGCTTTGTCACCTCTCTGCCAGGAGTGCGGTGGGGAGGGGTGAGGTTGCAGGTCCCAAGCCAATGATGCATACTTCCCCTTTGTCCCAGGCCTCCCAGCTCTGCCAGCTGAAGGAGAGATGGGATGCCTGTACCCTTGGAGCTGGAGTAGAGCTCTGGGCCCTGACACCACATGACCAGGAGGCACAGGTAAAGCTGAGCTCCTTGAAGTCACAAGCTGATTATGGGGGATTTGGGGTTGACCCAGCTCCAGGCCAAGTAGAGGCTGGTCTTGGAATGGCTCAGCATGGGACAAGGATCATTATGGACACGTTTACACTGTCTGGACACTCAGACTAGCTGTGCAAAGGGTCTTTCCATTTAAAACAGCCACCACCCTGATTTAGGGCACTAGGCCAATCTCACCACATCCACCATGGGAGTGAGTTTCTATTTCACAGGGAAGGAAACCAAGGCCCCGAGGAAAGCCACTTCTCCAAGGTCATAGTTTCATGAGGACGTGTTTTGTTTCCATTCACAGAAGGCCTTCAGCTGTCAAATTATATCTAATCCAACTTCTAGACGGTACCCAGAAAGAGCTTGGGAAGTCTGGGAATTCCTGCTCATTTGGGGTGAGTGAAGGGTGGCACAAAGGACAGGGGTGTAGAGGAAAAAGCATGTTTTTAAAAAGATACTGAAGAACATCTCAACTTTTTTGTGACAGCGTTATCTTGGAGAAGTCTCTTTCCTTCTCTGGCCTCAGTTTCCCCATCTGTAAACGGAGGGCTGGGCTATGCATTGGAAGGTCCCTTCCTGCTCAGGACTTTCCTTTATTCTCTTATATCACCCTAGAAAGGCTGGAGGTGTGTTTTGTGATAAGAGGCTAATATGTGACCTTGGAAGAGCCATTTTCCATTGGACCGAGATGTCATCGTGATTCGTTATCACCCTCAGGGAGGAGGCAGGGCAGGCCCGTTAGTTGACCCGTCTTTGGGCGGGGCACTCACCCGTGTGCTACTCTAGCAACCAGCTTCCTTACAAACCCCTGCAGGAGAAATGGCGAGCAAGAACTTTAATGACTTACCTGACCGAGTGATATGGTCCCCAACATAGTGGCGCCCCCTAAAGCTCACACTGCCAGAAGGCCAGACTTCTGGACGGAGGCTCCAACCCAGGGAACAGGTCACCTGGGGCCCAGGTAGGTACAACACATCAAGGGAGTCCAAAAAAGCAAGGGATATTTATGGAGTATTGATGGGGACAGACGGACACATTTATTTCGGAATTCTTACAAACACTCTAGTGATGAAAATGACATCATTCTGCAGATGAGGCAGCCGAGATAAACTGGAATTTGAAACCACAAATGCAGGACTTCAGAAGCTTCTGCTCTCTGTGCCACTGAGGGACTGAGGAGCCCTGCAGATTTCTGATTTCTCCTCTGGAGGGCAGGGTCAGCAGAGGTCCTGGGGCACAACTGGGGCGCCAGGAGGGACTAGTTAGGAGTTCTTCACAAAAGGCTGTGTGAGACATCCTGGGCCAGGGCTTACCCTTGTCTGCTGCCCTGGCTGGGATGGGAGGGTCTTCAACCTGTCCCCTCCCTGCTTCCTACTCAGTTAAACTCATCACAATGCTGCAAAAGTGCACGAAAGGACACAGGGAAGTCAGGTGAGTCCAAGGAGATGAAGAGGAACATGGCAAAAAGAACTTCGGAACCAGGTACACCCGGTTTTAAGACCTTGGGTAAGTGATGTAACCTCTCTAGGCCTCAGTCTAACCTCTTGCACAGGAGTGGGCTTGCTGATCAAATCAGAAGTCTCCAAAGGGAAGGGCTTTATTGTAGAATGTACATAGGATGATCTGTAGAGGGTTTAGCAAAAAAATAAGACAAATGTTTTTACTATAATTGCTATCTGTATTTATCTTTTGAAATTTCTGTTTTATGTAGGTGTATAATCTATTACTATAACAGTGCATGTACATGAATTTATAAATACAGATAAACCACTGGAAAGGAGGTACTCCAAAATTAATGACGGGGCAGGCAATCAAAAGTTTGGAGGTTATTTAATGAAAAATCCCCACCTGCTACAGCATTTAGAACCAGCTGGCACATGGGGAGCCCTTGAAATTAGGCACACTCTCCTCTCAGCCCAAAATTCAAGAAAGGCTGTGGTGCAAAGGGACAGTGGAGACTGAAATCCCTTTCTGATTGGCCTGGGTTCAAAGTCAGCACAGCCACTTACTAGCTGTGTGAGTTCAGGAAAATTACTTCCCTTCTCTGAGCTCTAGGCCCATGATCCATGTGGAGGATCAGTGACATTGAAAATATTTGAGCCAAGAGCCTAGTGAACTGTAAGTGGCTGTTGATTTTCTTCTCCACTGTTCTGTATCCACTCAGAATATTCACTTATTTACTCAACAAATAAATACCCAAGTTCAATACCACCTGCTGAACAGACAGTTCTTACCCTTCAAGGAGTGAAAAAAGTTATCCCTCTCTTACAGACAGTGAAACTGAGGGCGAGAGGTTAAATGATTTGCCGGAGTACTGCGCTAACACAGCCAAGTATTTAAAATTTACAGTGAACCCCCTACCACTAGCTAAAATAGCTTTTCGTTTTATTTTTATTTTGTTACACCCCAGCATAATGGTTCATTTATGACTGTCAGGGAATGTGTTCTAGGTCCAAGGTGTTCCTTCAGCCCCGAGGGCCAGGGCGGGGTGAAGCAAATTGTCTGAATTCAACAGGCATAAAGGAGACTTTTCTCTTTGAGGTACAGCCTAACATCACTGTCACGCACCTCTCTGCCCAGCCAAGACACCGCTCAGTCCCACCAGATACCTCTACAGCCCAGGTAAGGCTGTGCAGAGTTCAGTGCTACCTGCATTCCAGGTGCAAAAATGGGCATCCCCGTGCCTTCCCAGCCGAGGAGACGGGAAAATTCAAGAGGATAAGAGGCAGGGTTTCAAATAAAAGAGGGACTTGAAAATATTCTACAGAAGGGGGAAGAAGATAGGGAGGAAAGAAACAATGCCCTACACACAAGGAGGGGCCCAATAAGTATTTGTTGAAAGGAACCGTTCTGGGGAAGTCAAAGAGACGCCCCCGCGTGACAAGCCCGTTTACAGATGAAAAAAGAGATCGTATCTAGGTAGTTGTTTGCTCCCAGAATAAGAGTCGTCATCTATTCAGAGTCCCCTGTCCCGCAGCCCCCGGGCGCGCGCTCCACCCACTTCACTCCAGCCCGGGAACCCTTCCCGGCCCCAGGCCCCCGGGTTCGCGGCGGTGGCCTCCAGGGTGCTCTCTCCGCCTGGCCCTCACCAGCCCCGCCCGAGCAGGAAAACGTGCCACCTCGGAGCACATCTCCCCGGGGCTTGGCAAAAGCTCTGGGGCCTCCACTACTAGGAAAGAAGGGCCTCGGAGGCGGACTTTTCGCTTCAACCCTGAAGCCAGGCACCCCGGGGTTGGAGGCCCAGCCTTAAGAAAGAGCCCTCCGCCTCGGAACCCCGGAGGGCT